TTAGATGCCTAATAGACATCTCAAGCTCAACATATTCAAAACTTCTGATTCTCTTTCCACCTACAGATACACTTCACCCACAGTCTTCTCCATCTCAGTGGAGAGAAACGTCTTCCTCCCAGTTATTCAGGTTAACAACCTCACAGTCATCTTTAGCTCCTCTCTTTCTCTGACATCACACATCTATCAAGAAATCTCTTGGGCCCAGGCAAAATGGGGAACAGTAGTGTGCTGCTATGTGACACTGAAGCCATGCAGGAGATCCAGTTTTGGGGTCCCAGGTCAACCTGAACATGTCAGGCACACCTATATTCTCCTGTGATCCTGGTGGTTGGGAGGCATGGAGGAGTGTGGTGTGATAATGCTTTGTCAAGGGTATCTCACTATCCTTCAATTTATAAATAAATAAATAACATTAAAAAAGATATCTTTTTTGCTTTTCTTGCAAAATATATTCAATTATCCCCCTTCCCCATTAACTTGGTCATGATAAATGCTATGATCTCATCATTTATATTTCTGTAATCCTCTCCTACTTTCAACCTTGCCCCTCTGAAGTCTATTCTCAACCTAACCAGAGTGATCCTTTCTTCAGCAGATCATGTTGCTCTGCTCAAAGTCTTAGATTGGCTTCGGATTACAGTGTTATCCAAGGGGAGTCTTAGAAAATATGGACCCCATCTGATAGAACCGACCTCTGTGCTTCCTCTGGTTATCATGTGTGCTGTTAATGTCAGGACAACTAAGTGCCTCTGGATGACACTGATTTCCACTGGAGGTCCCTGGCAAGAATTGTGAAGAGTTTAGATTGATGAGCCTGAGCTGTCAAAGAGTGTCCATGTGTTCTATGGTTATTTTATGTCGCTTCCAAGTGGAAGCAAATACAAAAAGCAAAGAGGTGGCTCTTCAGACTGAACCAAGTTGGAATTAAGAGAAATACATGATGACAAGTGTCAAGTGTTCAGTTAGCATCACCTTCATCCTCCTGGTATTTAGCACATCGCAGAGTGAGTACAACACCTAAGTGAGCAAGGCAACTTGGAGCTATGTTGGGGTGTAATTCTGGGGAGCAGCAGCTGAATGGGCCGGTTGAGGGAGGGGGCAGGCTGGAGGTCAGGTGTCCTTAGGTAATGTGATTGAATCAGCATTATAACTAGTTTTAAGACCTCGGAGTTAAGCTTTCCTTGCTCAGTAGGGAGGACACATGACAGAGAGGAAAAGACAGGAAAAAGTATCTATGAGGATCTTTGTTGGAATCCTTGCTCTTCCACTATGGACTAGCCTATTGTTCAGGAAATGTTCACTCCCTACCCACTTGCCTCTCTATAGGAAAATTGTGACATTTGGCTTGGCCATCTACCTTTGCTTTAGCTGGTGGAAACTGGACAGAAGTGTATGTTTGCATTTCAAGACTAGGCCTTAAATAACATCACATCTCTGACCTCCATCAAGAAATGCTTGCCCCAAGGCAAGATGTTAAAGTTACATCTCTGGACTCTCACATGGTTGACTGTGGTTTGAGTCCCAGACCTGGTGACTTGAAACTCACTCCAGGTTTGTGTGCACACATTCTCAAGACCTTGGGAGGAGAATGAAGGAGAAGGGATTGTTCTCTGGACTCTCACATGGTTGACTGTGGTTTGAGTCCCAGACCTGGTGACTTGAAACTCACTCCAGGTTTGTGTGCATACATTCTCAAGACCCTGGGAGGAGAATGAAGGAGAAGGGATTGTGGCATGGCCATCCCCCCTGCAGGGGTGATTTCTCACTTTCTGTCTCTCTCTCTCTGTCTGGTGAGCACATATGCCCTACAGCAAAAATCTAAAACAAAAACAAAAACAAAAAACTTGCCCTGGATATCCTCCTAATCCTCATGGAGTTGCCTCACTGACCTGCAGACCTGCAGCTGGAGGCAGAGCTACCCCAGCTGACCCACAGATGCAGCGGAGAGGATACTAGATACTTGTTTATTATGAAGAAGTTACTGATGTATCCCACCACTTGCTAAATATGTGTTCTTGGTCAAATGACTTCAATTCTTGGGACCTTGATTTTCTCATCTATAAACGAGATTGCAATTGGACTCATTCTGAAGGATTTTGTGAGCATGAGGTAAGGTGCCACACGTGAAGCAGACTCCAGAGTGTGAGAAAGATCAGGTAGCATTACCTTTATACTTATTCTTAGCACACTGAAGAATGAGTACTACCCCTAAGTGACCAGGGAGAACTAGAGTTTTGCTGGGGTGTAATTCTGGGAGCAGCTGTAGAATGGGCTGATTGGGAGAGAGGGCAAGGATGGAAGTCAGGGGTCCTTGGTGTGTGGTTGAAGTGGCAGTGGGGGGTGGTGTTGCTTTCTCTTGATCTCACTTAGAAGTATGGAAGCAGGATACTCTGATTGATGCCCCTGAGCAGGTGGTGCTGTCTTCACCCTGACCTGAATCTGTGGGCCGATGCCAACATAACCTGCTGCCTCTTCCAGAGCCTCAGGAGAGAATTCCAGGCTGTGTTTCCCATCCACAGTAAATGTATCCTAGTAAGTGACCCTTGTTCCAGACTCCTCATTTGTCTGTGAGTCAACCTTCCACAGGCTAGCTGCCTCCTGGGGTTTAGCCAGAGGGATGAGTGCTGTGGGGTCCTGCTGAGCAAATTGATCCCTTTTGGCCAGTGTCCTGGGCATAGGGTGTCTAGGCCATTCCCATGTATCAGGCTATCATTATCCCTGTGGTGCAATTCCCTTCAAGTATGTGATAAAGGTCTCTATGGGATAACACCTCTATTATTCCCTGTTGTATTGCAAGAACACAAAATACCTATTATTAAGGGGCCTAAAGCCATTACCTCTCCCCATGCAGGCCATGGGGAAAGGTCCTTTTATCTTGATTTTTCTTCCCCTTTCTTTTCCTGTGGTCCTGATGGGCAGAGTATAAGGAACAAAAGGAGAAGAGTCCTCCTCTGCTCTTCTGTTTGCATTTCTAGCCGTGTGTCTTCCGGAGTGCTAAGCGTGTTTCTTCAAGTGCCTGGCTTCTGCATAAACTCCTTAGCATGGTACCTGATCCAGCTCCAGGATATTCAAAGCTGTGCCGTCTGTCCTTGTTAATGCTATTAAAGGAGGCCATTCATTTCTCCGTTAACTCAGACCCTCACTGCTGGTGATTAGGTATATTTCATCCTAGGTCAGTGAAGATAAGAGTCCTCCCTCTGAACTCCTCACAGCCCTTGCAATGCTTTCCAAGTTTTGTATGAGCTACACTTTTTGTTTAGAATGCTTTGGTACCCTTCCTCCCTTCCTTTTCCATCTCACCTCTCTGCTTCCTTTCTTTCCTCCTCCTCACCTCTTCCCTCCCCTCCCCTGCTCCTCCCTCTGTATGCAACCACAGCACTTAATATCAAGCAGACCAGTGCTGGGGATGGGGTGGGAGGAAATTCTTACTAATGATTGACTCTGCAACCTGCAATCTGTCAGATTTTGCGTTGGGGCTTAATGTGCGATTTCATGGCTTTTCATGGTCTCTAAACTGCAAATGCAAGATTATTTGAAAACATTTTATTTAATTTTCATGCTTTTTTAATCAAAAAAGTTAAAAGAATAATAATCTTTTACGGGCAGTTATAAATGTGCTATTTACACACAAAACAGAAATATCTCCCTTAGCGGAGCCATCTCAGTGTGTGCTTAGAGAGGACGCCATAGGAATACTGATGAGGAAGGGCGGAATGTGTTTGGAAACAGCTTAATTCATTCTTCTAGGCAATGCCTGTCTAGGTGGAGTGTGATTCTGCTGGTTCATTCATCATCCCCAGACCTCTAGAGTCCAACATTTTCACATGGGAGTGATATGGCAGTGAGCATCATGTGGGCAGGGCTGGTGTCTCTGGGCCAGCTTTTCATTTTGGAACCTTGCTGCCTCCCTGTCATGGAGCAGGCATATAGGAAATATTTGGTGAATGAATGCACAAATGGATGAGGGAAGAGTTTCCCATATTCTCCCTCCAGCAGTCTGAGGCGAGACTGAAAGCATTCATGGTCTTTTCCCATCACCATTGGAGGTAGAAGCAGCAGAGAAGCTGGACTCCTAGTTTGGTGAAGGACACACTAAGAGGATGTGGGCCATTAGAATGTTTGGAGGCTGTCCTGACTTCTGTGAGAACCATTTACCTATGGTTGATTCAAAATCCTAGATCTAGGACTTTAAAAACCTGAAGTTCAACTTTTTTCATGGTACAGCTAAAGAAACAGAGGCAAAGTGAAGAAGCTCCTCAATTAAGGACCAAGTCAAGACTTGAATCCCAATATCCTACTCATCCCCAATTAGGTAAAAAAATAGTTTTCCCTGTATTGATGTATTTCATCTCCGGTGTGTGCTATCTTACACAACTTCTCCCAAATTCTGTGACTTCTAGACTTGCTATAGATGACAGCAGTATCCTCTTTACTCCTCCTCCTTCAACTTTGCACTATTCTCTCTTTCCTGCTTAGGAGTCTGAGGATAAAGAACCCTAGAAATCCAAGAAAACTGAACAGTCTTTTAGATTAGGGGCCACACATGCAGATGAAGAAAGATGCCACCCTACATCACTTGGAAAAGAGACCCAGCCATACAGAGAGGGGATCTGGCCTGACTGAGGGCCTCTGTGTTGTTGAGGTTGGTGCATTCTCAGTCCCATAACTGGCAAAGCCCCAACTGTGGACAGCTGACATGGTGGAGTTTTTCAGCTGGGAGAGTCTCCTATCTCATTACCAATCCATGAGATAATGATGACCACCATCATCATAATCATTATCGCCTTAGACAGGCGTGGAAGACAAAGGCACCCTGGAGACTTAGGTTTGAAATGAGCTGCTTCTTCGCCAATCTGGGCTCTGCAGAGTGTCCTTCTAAAGAATTAAAGGATCGTGAAGCTGAAAAGGGCCCTCAGAGATCATCAGTTCTGGCTTCCTGCCTCCAGACAGGACTAACCTTCATAGAATAGTTGTAGTGGAAACCGTACCAAACTTACTTTTATATGTTATTCTTGTAATAGTATCTCTGTTGAGCATTCGATTAAGAAAGGGGTTTGATGAATCAGAAACCTGGGGAAGAAAAGAAAATATTAATGATTGGGTAGCACTCTCCCAGGATACATACCATCCTCTATGCATTGCTTTTCATTTATGTCTACTGAATGCCTCTGATGTGTCAGATACTATCAGGCCAGAAATTCAAAGATCAAAGACACAGACCTCGGGAACCAGCAGTTAGCGTAATGGCTATGTCGCTGGACTCCCATGTAGTCGACCGCGGTTCGTGTCCCGGACCCGGTGGCCTGAAACTCACGCCGGGCGCGTGTGCGTGCGTGCCCAAGATCCCGAGAGGAGAATGGAGGAGAAGAGATTGTGGCGTGACCATCCCCCCTGGGGGTGATTTCTCGCTTTCTGTCTCTATGTCTCTCTCTGTCTGTCTGGCGAGCACACGCGCCCTACAGCGAAAATCTCTCCAAAAAAAGGAAAAATAAAAATAAAAAATAAAGACACAGACCTTATCCTAAAGAAGACTCCAGTCTAGAGAAGAAAGATGAATATATAAACACATAGGAGGAGTCTTCAAAATGCTTATGGAAAAATGGAATTAAAGGATAAGTTTATTTTGGTACAGATCTCTAAAAAATTCATGCAAAATGTAATATAAAAATAATAAAATTAAATTTTAAAAATTTGTGCCTAATTTTTCCATAATATGCACTTTCTATGAACTTCCTGAAGATCACTTATAGTTCTGATATCAACTGAGGAGTGCCATGACAGAGTCACAGGTATGATGATGTTAGAAGACTGCCTACCACCTGGAGAATGCAGGGAGCTAAGGCATGAGTTGCGTCTGAAAGGTTGGTTGGAAGTGTTTTGGTGGAAGAGTGTGGAAAATTAGGAAAGTCAAGGTAAGACATTCCTTACAGATGATTTGTATGTACATGGGCATGGGCGAGTTAGAACTAGACATGCTTGTGGGAGTTTTTCAGTGTAGTAGAGCTAAGAGTGCGAGGAAGGAAGTGGGGGAGGTGAAGTTAGAGAGGTCAGCAAGGGCTAGGTCATGTCATGTTTTTAATGTCATTTTGGGAAATTTAAACTTTATTCTGTAGGAACTGAGAATCATCAGTGTTAAGCAGGGGGTAGGGAGGTTATTTATCTAAATAGAGAGTGAGGGACAAAGAGTACCTAGAATAGAGGTATCAGGATATGGGAAAGAAATACTCTCAATAGTAATATGAAAAAACAAAACAAAACAAAAAACAAACAAACAAAAAAGGAAAAAATAGTAATATGAGACTTTATTATATCACTGCTCATTATTGCATGAATTGAATAGCTCATAAGTCCTGTCAATCACTCTGCTATTCATCTACCATCCATGCACACCTGTGACCATGCACACATGCTACCACCTATCATTCATCCGGTCAATAATTACCAAGTGCCTATTATGAGCCAAAACATTTTACTAGATATTCAGGGCTCAGACCCTATTTTATGTTTATGCTCTTAAATCTCTAAATTCCTCATTTAGGAGAAGTCACACTTTAAGGGGTTTAAACCTTTCTGAGATTGTGACGTGGCCCCATAAGCCAGTGTAGATTGTTTTCTTAAAAACGCCTTTCTTAGTTAGCCTTTTCAGAGGTACCGTTGTTCATCCTAGTCATTTCTCTCCTACCTTGCTTAGCTTTGCTCTACTGTGTAATTTACGCCTCAGCTGCTAATCGGATGTTGTGACACATCAACATTTTAAATCTGATTTATTCTGAGGGTTGGAAAAATTGCAGCAGATGATTATTATTATTAGATAAGCAACAGGTAATTTTAGTTTGGAGAAAGCACAGACTGTTTATTTTCCCTCCATCTGTCTCTCTTTTCACACAGTTTCCTTGGTGTGTTGTGGTGAGACACACACCAAGGGGAGCTTGATGAGTGACAATGCTCCACAGAGGTAAAAGTCTGCACCATAATGGAGGATTGACCCACGTTGAATGCCGTTGCTTCCTGGAAATTTTATGGCCAAATTCAACTTCTACTCTGACATCGTTAGCCATTTAAATGATAGCTTGAAGCTCCTGTTTGTGCTCATGCACCTGATGAAGGAAAGACTAAAAATACACAGTATTATCCTGAGGGTGAGGAATCTGCCATGCACCTTAATCCTGGGACCTGGTAAGCCTGGGCAGCACTAATGGTGGGACCAGACCCTTTTGAGCTGATTAAAACTAATTGAAAAATTTCCAAAGTGCACACAGATGATTTGTGGGCTCCAGTGTGTTGGCTGCGTGGGTGAGAGGATAAAATATGTACTTGGTATAAGTGAGCTTAAGTGGGAAGTTAATGGTGTGTGATTGAGCAGCAATTACAGCCAAATCTCAGCTCCCTGTGGTCACAGGAAGGATGGGGGATTAGTGGAGGACAGAGATAAATAAAACACATACGTAAACAGGTCTCTCTTTTTAGCCAATAATTCCAAACCTTCTATGGTGCAGCTTGTGGTCAGGGTGCCAACTCTAGGGCTAAACTACCTAGAGATGGGTAGCTGGGAGCTGAGAAGTGAAGCAGAGAGAATAGAGGAGGGAGTGATGATTTCAAGAGATTGTGTACCCTTAGAGACTAGGGGCTTCGTTCATCTCATTTCTGGGTATCAGTGCCTAGCAAAGGGTTGGTCTGGATCCCTTACTCAATCAGCATTTTGAAATACGTGAATGACAAGTCATTCAAGGTATCATTGAATAACTCACTCTGGAGTTGATTATCTGGATTGATTATGCAGAACAAAGATAGACATGCTGTGATTTATTTTGAGATCTGGCCAGAAAGCTTCAGATTTGATCAGAGAAAGAACGAAAGCATCCTTAGAGGCCAAACTGGCTTGAGAAAGTGCAGGAACTAGTCATCATCTCTTCACTGACCTCAGGATCTGCGGCATAAGTTCCTCCTGACAACCTATAGGGAAACCAGCCAGGACCTGCAAGCCCTGACTGCTAGTTATGATTTCAGTGGAGAGTTTGTTAAAGAGCAGTAGTGAGCTACCGAGGAGGCTGACTTCCCAGTCTCCCTGTAACTGTAGTGTGTCTGTGCTTCCAGGATCACAGCCACTGACTAGAGGCTTTGTGCAAAATGAGATTTTTTTTTTTTTTTTTTTTT